ATTTCAAATTTGAAATTTAAATTTCAAAGGATATGGTAAAATTTATCTAATCAGATGGAATATTTAGCTTACAGGTTTTGTTGTCATCAGTCTTTTAACCTGACTATCACTAAAAGAGAAAAACAGGACAGGTTAGATTGGTTAGCAATTGGTTAGCAATGGTACTGAACTGTTTAGCTTTAAAGTTTAGATGAGAGATGGAAACAACTGTAGAAAAGTATTTTTTTTAATGAATTTTGAAATTTGCAAATTCTAGAATCAAAATAAAAGGTGCCTTATGCCCTCAGATTATTGATATATATAACTGTAGTATATTAACTGAATAACTGAGGATCATTTATACTAAGCCAGAGGTGCAAGAAGTACAAGCTGCCAGCACCTCTTTTGGGGTCCCCAGAACCCAATTAGGGGGGGCGGCAAAATTTTTGAACAGGTATAAGAGTCAGAACAAAATAAAGAATAAGAATAAAATAGTTAAAGAAAAATAAATGCCTCCACCCACTTTTGGAGTTCAGCTCTCAGCAAGCCACATAACACCCAGTGCAACTCAAATAGATGGAAGTTGCACACCCCTGGCTTAGCATCTTATGTGTGCACTGAAAATTCAGAAGACACAAGGCCAATTATTACTTAATCATAATTAAACAAGTACTGCCAAAGCACCATAGATGTCTCCTCAGGAACTGAATAATAGTTATGGATGAAAACTTCAAGATGAGGAAGTGCTTTGGCCTTACTCAATAGTATCACTGAGTCCTTGCATTTTTAATTTGTGTTGATTTTATACTAATTTGTTCAAGTGGAAAGCTGTCAGATTACTATATTTGCTAGACCACACCAGGGATAGTATAGCCTTTCCTGGAAGTCAGCCCTCTGAACCATAAGTTTTCTGTGGTGTTCCAGATATGGAGTTGTGAATGAAACAAGCCTATTTTAGGGCCAAACCATCACAGATTACTTCAGCTCAAAGCACCAGAGAAGATTAAAAGATGCAATTGAAAGTAAAATGAATAGGCAGAAGGTGTAAATGACTGCAGACATTTCTGATGAATGCTTTTAAATATGGATGCCTTTAAAACTGGATTCAGAGGCACTGCCTGTCGGCTCATTTTTAACCCATTTTATAACACCTAAACAAGACATCACTCTCTCCTCTTCCATGTTCCAGTTACCTCTTCCCTGTCAGTTTTATTCTCATTTTTCTCTTTCCTTTCCAGAGCAGTTACCAATTCTTCCTCTCCACCCTCATTGGTCTCTCTATCCTAAATTGCCAAAGCGTGGAGGATGTGTGCACAGAGTCGATGACCACAGCAAAGACCAAGGAACCAATGAGTAGACCGGTTCCTTGGAACCTTTCTGGATAAGAAGATAGGAGATTGTCTACATGTACTCCTCATGAGGGAACAGCAGGACAGCAATTTTCCATGGGTTTGAACACCAGGAGATGACAGGATCAGCCACCTTGTTCGCAACCATGGCAGAGACTTTCAAAAGACACTTTGCAAATCTCACTTTCTAATCACTTTATGAAATTGCTTATTAACTACTTGTAAGCTATTAGAGACCTTTGGACCTACAAGTTTGAAATGCCAGATAAGTCTGTCTTCAATTCTGAATGAAAGAAAATTTTAATCATAAGTTTAAGAATTTAAAGAATCTGAAATAAACAATAGCAAATAAACAGCAAAAAGCTAAATAAGATTTTTATCTTAGAAAATTATAAATGGACCAAGGGTCCATAGAAAATTTAAATGCTTTTACAATAAGATTTTGGAATTAATTATAAAGAACAAACAACTTCTCATGGGAAATAGATTCTGTTCTGGTTTTTACAAGACATAACAAAGATAAGCAATTTCATGATTTCAAAAACTGGACATTAGAGGGGACTAAAGTGTTTAGGCAGGGGAAAGATTTACAAGCCTGTAAAATGTTGCAAAATGTTATAACAATAAAAATAATGGAGTCTTTTTAAGAATGGAATCGCAGAATAGTAGCCACAATATCAACAATGCCAGTAATGATGTCTGCTTCTATGGATAGACTGGGTCCAAAAGGTGTTATTGAAGAAATGACAGATGTAGAACAAATTTTATCTGACAAGATACAGATGGTATCAAAAGTGGATTTACAACTGACAGGCCAAGAGAATAACTTAGAAAGGACTTTTCACTGGAGCTACAAAAGAAACCGGCTGAGGTTTTAAAATATAAAAGAGAAATACAAATGATAAGCCAAGAGGATGTGTGTGCGAAAAATAATATTTATGTGCTTTTAAGTGTGAGAGTGTTGTTTGAATGTGTGAGACATAGGTTGTTATATGCAGATGGGGATAAATTTTGCTAACAGAATACCTTATTTTATAAGCAATTTATTTTAATCAGCAGTTATTAAATTATATGTGTGTGTGTGAGTGTTTGTATGTGCATTTAGAGTATGGCTTCTGGGGGATGTATACATGTTAGCATACGAAAGTACACGTGCACACACAACTGAACAGAGTTATTGGAGTGGGAAATCTCCAGGATTGGTTTCAGCTGAGGTTGGCAATGAAGAAGCTGAGCACTGCACAGGACTTTTCTCTATTTTTTTCCCCTTACCTTCCTGCTCTCTATGGGGAATCATTTAAAATTCAGGTTGTCTGTCTTTGGGGTAATGTTGGTATAAACTGGAATATGCTGATCATATCATGCAAAAGTACTGGTTCTTAATCTGTTTAAAATAATAGATTTAAGCAGCTTAGACAAATACTTGAATTGCCTTCTCTACCTCCTAACCAATTTTAAGGTCCTGTTCTATGTAGCTCAATCAAGCAAAAGTTAAGCAGTCTACCACCAAAAGAGTCTTTTAATCTTCACGCAAAATTAATATATTTTATTAGATTTTTTTTTTTTACAACTCATTGGATTCTCTCTTATTTTTAATTTAAATTGCTAACTGTTTAATTATGTTGCCTTGATTAAAATGATGCTACCAGTGCTGTATGCTGTATTTTATTTTGTTGTTGATCTTAATATATTTTGAATGTGTATTTTTACATTTTATTTGTTTGCCTTAACCTGCAAAATATGCATATATTTATATAAATTTAATAAATTAAAGATTATAAAACAGTTTAGACCTATTCTTAAGCAAGTGTGTAAAGCAGCATACTAAGTTCAAACACACAGGTAAATCTTTTAATTTAAGTAAAGTTCTAAATGTAAAAATGTTTTAGAATGCGTCATGAAGGGAAAACATCAACCTCCTTGTGAGTAAGCCACAGCACAGAGTGCCTGTAGATTCAGCGCCTGCTGAGCATAAAAGCTGTTCTGAAGAAAGGGCAGGTGGTAGGGGTTGGAAAAGAAGGTTGAAGGAGATAGTAGATGCCAAAGGACAACAAAGAGAAGCCTTCAGAGAAAGCCCCTGCTGGATGACCCTTATCAGGCCTGTAACTCCCCCACCCTTCTATGCTGCCTGGGCTGGACTTAGCTCATTCCCCAGGCAGAACTGGTTCCTCAAGCTGGAAAGCCTTCCTCAGAAGAAAAGAAGGGGACAGAGACTACACAAGCATGGTGTGTGTTTATATGCCCACAGCAGAGGCTGGAAGGTTTATTGAAATTGTTGAGGTGAGAACAGAAGAACTAGCCTCAAACTGCTGCTGCCAGATCCATTTGTTTCCTTGGTTAGACATCTTATTTTGAATGTTACTTTGAGTTCTTGGTTTGGACTGCTGAGGCTCCAGAGAGTCTGTTTTTTTCAAACCCCATCTCTGAATGCTCTGTGGAGACTGTGGAGAAAAAATTCAACAGGTTCTCTACATCTGTGAAGAGTCCAGTGTTTGCTTTGTTACTTGCTAGTCAGCTCCCCACTACTCTATCTACAAGGGTGTCTGCCACAGAATGCCATACTATTATTTACTTAGTAATAGTAATCACTCACCTTTCTATCACCACCATTTTGTGTGCTTACAATAACTAATACTAATTAACATATCAAAACAATGAAATAAACCATATATAACCATTGTTTTAAAAAATCAGTAAAAAAAAGCATGCAGAGTATGAAAATCTAGGGGAAAAAATCCATTCTTATACTTCAAATGCTATATAAGAAACACATTTAAGCCACAGCAGTCTCTGTTCAAGACAAAGAGATGTAACTTTCTCCCATCCCTTTGCCTGCTAAGATTAAGCAGCAGATCCTATTACTTTAGCAGGACATACTAAAGAAGGCAATCATGCCTCATGAGAAATGTCTTCCAGCAGCTCAAGGAGGCACAAATTTTGAAGAGTTTTTAAAACTACGCTATGGTTGACTTTGATCTAAACTCATTCTCTTAGAAAAAATGAAGTCTACTGTTCTGTAGCTACAAACCATGGTTATTTTCCCTTAGTTAAGGATGAAAAAATAACTACTTTCAATTACTATTGTATATAATTATTATTAATAATAATATTTTGTTAGAGTTAGACCTCATTGCCGCTCCAAGAGTTCAGGTTGGATACAACTTTGCATGAACTGCCTTTCTATACTTATAAATCTATGGTCCAATAGGGGCAATAGATTTAGAGTTAGCAGAGAGACTCTCCACTTCAATGTCCTTTCCCTAAGATTTACTTTTCTTGTTTCTATACAGCATGTCTACTATTGGATAGACTGATACTCTTGGGTATTCATCACTTCCTTCACTGTTCAGTTCATTTCTTCTGTCCCTGACCTTTGCAGTTCAGGTTCTCACTTATGTTATTTTCTTTCCACAAATTGAGAAGAACATGCAGTAGGCTCTTAGCTTTAGAAAGATTTAAGTAATTCAGGTGTTACTTTCTTTCATGTAAGCACCAACCTCAAGAAGGCTGTATACTTTTCTATAACTTTAAAACTCATGCTCCTAATTTTAGTGGTTCTGCCTACATGGCTCTGTTATGATAATGTTGTTTTACATTACCAGGCATTTGGCCTATCAAACGCTAGCTTATATCCAAGTTATCCCAAAATCTATATTTTAGGTAATATTTTACTTGATAGCTTAAAGAATTCTCTTACCTGTTTCCCATCCAGTGTGTAGAGACGCTTAACTACTCCTGAATCAAGTTTGATGGCATCAGTAATATCAGTGAGAACCTGCTCAAATGAATGTGCTGTTTTCTTGTTCAGCAGAATCCGAACTGCTTTGCGTGGCTTCACACCACTCCTGATGATTGTGACCAGTTTAGGTCTAATGAAATCCTTGTTCTCCTTTGTATCTAAAGGGCTTCCTTTGGCCGTGGCTAGAGAGGGCACTGTGCGGGAAGTTGAGGTGGTCTTAACATTTACCGACCAATTAGGATTTACATTCTTTGTGTACTCCAGCTTCTTAAAAGGCTCTATTGAACCACACACATAGCTCTCTCCTACAAAAAAGAGAAAAAGGGGTGGGTGGGTAGAAAGAATTACAAATCATTAACTCAGCCAAAGCCATATACAGTTCTTTCTACAATCATTCAAGCCACTTCCTAAATATTCTCTTCAATGACACTGAAGACATGCTACTATTCCAAGGTCTTTAGTTATCAGATTTGAAAAAAATGGTCTGGCTTGAACATTACCCTGAGCTATACTTTGCCTAATCACATTTATTGAATAAACCACAGTTGTCCTATTCATACAACTGTTAAGCCAAAATCCAATAGACCACCTAATGGCTTAGTGTATTGCATTAACCCAATCATGTTCTAGAAAAGGTGGAAATTTTGAAAAAGAAAATGCAGTTATCACACATAATCAAAAGCCATGGAATCTCACAATTTATGGGAGGAAGTTCCTGAAATGACTTTAGAAATCATATAAAAATATGTAGCTCTGAAAAATTATTTTCTAACACCTCTAACATTTGTGAGATTGTAGGCAAATTGGAGGTGAATAGGCAAAAAGATTGGAGCCACTGTTACTTCTTCCAATTTCAGTTGCAGAATTACCTACAACATCTGACAAAGAAAATTAATCTGTTTAGGAAATACATCCTTTAAAAGAAAGAAAGTTTTAGCCCCAGTGCATTTTCAAGGAAACAGATATTTTACTGTAAACCGCCCAGAGTCACTCCACAGTGAGATGGGCAGTGACAAATTCAAAAATATAAATAAATAAACAAATAAATAAACAAATAAACAAATAAATTTAGCAGTTTCTATTTATGCAATGTAATCTGAAGCATCTTTTTAAAGCAGTTTGTTCTGGAAGAAATATAGTATATCTTAAGAGCCAAGTGACAAGGCAGAGTAATGATTTGCAAATGATCAAACAGGACATATTCTCTTTAATCTATGTTGACATGTACTATTTTTAGTACCAACCACAAGGTTAGATACCACAAAAGTGCTCTTTCTTTGTATGCTCTTCCAAACTTCATTAACGTTCAAGTACTATCATTTGTTTTTTGGCAGAAAATGTTTCCTCAGTGATGTGGTATTGATACACTGCAGGGCTCTCCAAAGCAATTGAATTGCAAGATAGTGAACATCTTACTTTATCCCACTAAATGAAATTGTTTGCTATTACTAGACATACTGACAAATAGAATGGCTGAATTTAGGCTTCTTTTCAACACTTCTCAAAGTCTCAGAAACAACGGTTTACTTTTAATATTTGCTTTCATTCATAGTGTTCAAGTGACCAAACAGCAGCCACTAGAAAAGGAATGTGAATGTATTCTGAAATAATAGATTATTTCTGTTGGGTAGCCAGTAAGGGCTAAATTACTGTGGATTCCTAAAATCCAACAATTGCCCTAATTCAGAAGCTGGCAACCTATTTTTCTTTTGATGTCTACTTTCTCCTGGAGTTGAAGCTGCATGGTAGCTAGAACCAAAACAACCTTGACACGAGCCTCAAACAAAAGTGGACAAAAATATCCATTCTTTCTTATATGCCTTTTTCTTTTTACTGTGCTTTCTCTCTTGCCCAAACACTAAGCTGCAGGGAATAGCTAGATAATACTTTACAGAGGTAAGAGCTATCTCTTGCCCTTGGAGTGTAAAATTAGGCTGAAGGCTGCATAAGAATTTGACTAAGGATTTAACTAAGGTACAGACTTAGGATTCTCTGACAGTACATGATGGGTCAGCTGCAGGAAGAAGCAGCCATTGGTTTTAAAGCAAACATAATTACCCCCTCCCAACTCTCATGTAAACCTTGGATAAAAGGCAGCTGCAGAGGGTCTTCCTTAGGTAATTGCACTTTTTAGGAATAGGAAGGACAGTTTATTCCATTGCTTGTCAATTATATGGGTTCATTGTATTGCTATTCGGTTAATTGCTGTGGTCATCAGCAACTGGGGGTAGGGAAACAGAATCACAGATTTTTTATAAACCTGATCAGAGTTTTGCTCTAGGTTTTCCTCTTCATTTTGCCTGTACAAGTTCAAAGTGACCAGTTATGGTACTGCAAAGTTTGAGAAACTCTGGGAAATATGGATTAAAATGTCATATCAAAAGTAAGAGGCATACTGATTTCTTGTCCAATCCTAACTTGAATGAGACCATTCATTTTATTTGAGGAAGGGGCATATACACTGATTTATCCCTGAAGGGGGTTGCAGCACTGCAATGTTTGGGAAGCCCTGCCTTCATGCATGCCAAGCGCCAAGCCTTGTAGGCCTTTAGAAGTCAACCTCTGAATAGCACCTAGGAGCAAAGTGCATGTATTAGAATTTGCAGCATGTGGTTTTTCCACTTCCAATGAAGATAAACTCAATGTTCAATAAACCCACAATCATCTAAGTAAAAATCCCAAACAAATAAGAATTCGATTGAAGATCGGCATTGACAAAAATAAAGATGTAGGAAACAACAATGATTAACTAGTTGCAAATAAGTGCCTTATTTTATAAGAAGATTACTTTCTATTTACTAATAACAACATAAACACAAAAGACAAAAAGATATATATATTAAGTATGTTGTATGTTCCTTTCATGCAGGCTACAAATATTATACAAAGGGTATAATATTTTAACAGCCGAAAATTCACTGAAGGAGAGCTTGAATATGCATAGAATAAATAACCCCTGAATAGATTTCCAGTTCAGCAGAAACTGCTCTTTAAATCACAGCAGATTCAATTGATATTGAATGAGATTAACCCTTGTTCACTTTTTCTTTACATACTTAAAAGATCAACAGTGATAAAGCTAACGGAAGTTTGGCAGAAAGAAGGGACAAGCGAAAGAGAGGAGTGACCAAAAGCTCTGTGTTCTAAGTGACTGAGGACAAGAGATCATCTCATAAAAAGTTACTGACAAAAAATGGGTGTGTCCTGAGAGACTCTGACCTCAATGAGTAATCTGAATGATTGCTTCCTAAAAATAGGAAAAATATAAGGCAGCCAGTATCCCAGGAACAAGCTCACAAAACAAGTAAGCAGGGAAGGGTAATTGCAGTCTACCAGTACAGATAAGGGGATGAGTGCTTAACCATTTTTTCCTCTAAATAAGCAATGCGTACTTAGCTAATCTGAGTTTTAGCATTTTTCCTGCATGTGCAGGACCTGCTTTACGGATCACCGAATGTTGGTCCATTGGTTGTAACAGGAATTGACTGACCAGCTTGTCACCTGAGCCTGACGTCATGGGCTAAGAGAGAGTGACAAGAAAAAATAAACTCTTGCCTACTTAAACAGAGGATGACAGAGCATGAGTATGTGTTGTGTGTACCTATATCTATATCTATGAGCAGGATATAGGAGAACAGAGGATATACCACTAGCTTTCAAGAAGGCAAAAGGAAATCACAGTAGGTGATGACTCACTACTGTATTATAAAGAACAGAAACAAAAGCATATCAGCCAGATTGACAAGCTCATTCAGACTACTGGCTGACACAAACATGGATCAGGAATGTAACAAAACTATTTACAAAACCTATTAAGTCCATTGATAATTACCCCCTCCTGCTAATCACTGGAGGAACTAATGATACTGCTCGCAACAGTTATAACATATATCATTTGAAAATCTAGGAAATTCTAGAATCTTGATGTTTTTATTTATCCTTCCAATCCATAACATAGTACTGCAGAGGTAAAGAAATAATACTACAGATGACTGATTGGCTTCAGAAATGATGTAAACAGGAGATATTTGGTTTCTGGAACCAAGCTCTGAATTACAGGGATGGTAGACTGCTGGTAAAAAAATGTGTTTGGAATTAATTAAGCATGGTGAGCTGGAACAGAATGGCTTTAAACTGAATGTGTGGGATTGGAGACAAAAATCCTGAAGAATGGACCTCAGATAAAGGACTGCACACAGGAAGAAAGTAGAAATATTGTTGTAATAAAGCTTGTTAAACCACCTGTGAAAAATCAGAAGGCTCACTGGCTGCAGTTTCAAACCATCCTAATGCTCAAAGTATGGGAAATAAAGATTAATTTGAATGGTTAGTACAAGGAGGCAAAAAAGATTTAATGGCGTAACAGAATTGTATTTAACTATTGAATATAAGCAACAGCAAACACCTATAGAGAGAGTTGTTCCAATGTCTCCTGTAGTCTGTCTCTAGAAATCAAATCAAGGGTGGATTTGAAACCTATAAACACTACCAATAAAGCTTCATGTTACACATGATACAATTTTTATCAAGGTTCTGCCCTAATAACTTGTTTCTTACTAGAAAGTTCTTTCTGTCAGACTGATCTAATACTTTCCAAGTCTTACATAGGGCTTACTAATAATACTTAGTAACTTATTTGGTGTATAGCTAGTAAGTCAGTTTTGTTCCTTCTTTTAAAGAGTGGAATAATAGTCACATGTTCAACCCTTTAGAGATATTTGCCATAAGATCTATATGTTCAAAGGGGATTAGAAAAGATGGAAGCCCACCATTTAATATTAGTTTTTAGCAGCTTAAGAGGCATGAATCTCCAACCAGGTGCTTTCCCTGCTTTTGATTGTATTATGAGGTTAGTAGTTACGGAAGCTGGAACTGAGAGTCTATCTAGCAGGACATCTGGAAGAGGCCTAGATTCTGATATACACTCAGAGTTAACTGCAGAAATTAAGTAGAAGCATGACTCCTAAACAGCAGGTGATACCTGACAATCGATCAAAGTCTATATTTCATTTAGACTGCTTTTAACAGGTGCTAGAAAACCATAGAATTTCTCCACCTAACAGCTATGACTAACTCTTGCAAGTTTTCTACTAAATGTTCTTTTTTATCCTTACCAGAGTTTTAAACTGTTTTCCCCCTGCAGATAAAATATTCATGGGAAGGGTTTCCCATTACTTGGTTTTTATTTGTTTTATTAAATTCTCTTTACTTCACACACATTCATGGACATACCTGTATTTTGTTTTAATTATTGAAACCCAGACTTTGCTATGAAATGGTCAGATAACAGACCCTGCAAAACTGGATTAATACATTGCTGAAATCCTGGAATCTGATTAATTGCCTATTAGGATATGAAAATAACTTAGGGAATTATTACAGAAATTGTTAAGAAAGTACTTATTAGTTCCTCATCAAACTGAAAGAAGCATCCAAGCTTCTGTCTTGAAACTCTAGTCTTCCATATGTTTGTAATGAATTGGATGAAAAGGTGGAGGAAATTCTTAACAAATGTGTAGATGACACCAAAGTGGGTGGACAACTAATAGCTTAGAAGACAAAATTTAAAACCTCTTTGATATGTAAGAGAAATAGGCTGAAAATAAGAAAATAAAATTTAACAGTCAGATAGCTCTTCACTTAAGAAACAAATTAAATAGGTACAGTATAGGAAGAGGGATATCTAGCTTGCTAATAGTTTTTGTGAAAAAGATCTTGGAATACTAATTGGTTACAGACTGAACGTGTTAGCAGTGCGAAAAGAGACAAATGCAATTTTAGGTTAAATAAAAAGAATATGGTTTCCAAATCTTAGAAGATAATAGTTCCACTATTTTGCTTTGGTCATTCCAAACCTAGAGTAGGTTCAGAGAATAACATGAGGATGATTAGGGACTAGAAATAAGGTCCCAGGAAGAGAGGTGGAAGGAATTTGAAATGTGAAGCCTTGAAAAGAGAAGCTTTAAATCACTGGGAAGTTTATTTACTTGTTCAGGAATGATAACTGCCCAGGAAATACCCAGGGTTAGGATGATATGTTATTTGATATATAAATATGTTATTTGATAACATTATATAAGAATATGTTCATTCATTAAGTATTTGAATTTAGATAGAGTTTTGTTTACAAGGGTTCAGCCAAAAGTGTGACCTGTACAAAGAGGAAATAAAGGTATTTTATGTTTTTACTTTTCCATGAGATATTTTAAAAAGTCAGGTAAGTAGGCAGATAAACGTAACAGCTTAGTGAAACCAAGAACTGGAAAATTCTTTGCTATTAAAATCTATGAAGCAATAATCATTCATGGATATATAGAAAGAACATTCAGAAAAAATATACATAACATGGAAATTACTGTTTGAATCATGTACAGTGCATGCTACTATTGCTAAACTGAAATTTCAGATTTAAATACCCAGTGAAGTTGTTCTAAAACAGTGTTGTCCAAACTTGGCCACTTTAAGATGAGTGGACTTCAACTCCCAGCCAGCATGGCTGGCTGGGGAATTCTGGGAGTTGAAGTCCACTCAAAGTGGCCAAGTTTGGACAACACTGTTCTAAAACAAACATAGGGAACCCATGACCTTCCAGGTGTTGATGACTGCACATCAGCATGACCAATAATGCAATTTCCAGTGGAACAGGACTGGGTTACTTACAGGAGCCCCTGTTCCTGGTCATCCCCCAGCTCCCTCCCAGGTCCCATTCTGAAACAATGTCCATTTAATGGGGCTTAGGACACGTCTTATCTGTGGTTGCTCCTGGCATGTGGAATAAGCTCCCACCAGAGATTTGGATGGCCTTGACTCTACCAGCCTTCCAAAGACCTGTCTTTTCTCCTGTGTCAGACTGGTAGATGAGCCCGTTCTGTGATGCGTATGTAGGTTTTTATCATTAGCTTCAATTATATTTTCAGTATTTTTTTTATTTTATTGCATTTTTTGGGTTTTATATTGTTATTTTTGATGCTTCTTTTTTGCATATCACCCCAAGTCACAAATTGTGAGAGGGGCAGTCTTATAAATCTTACGCATAAATGAATGAAATTGATGTTATATACTAATCTCTGCATAATATGTTCTTGATTTCATGTATCTTGCTTCCTGTGTTGTTGGAAGAAAATTCCATAAATAGCTTCTATAAAACCAAAATAGGAGAGGCTTTCTTGTTAAATAGAAACTGCCATACACCCAAGATCTGAATTCAAAAGTTAGATCTTTATGTTTAAAACAGAGGAAAGTATCACAGGGCATTATCCCAAAATAGCTACCATGGGAGAATCAACTATTCATAAAATGACTACCATGGTGGTTGCAGTCATTCACCAGAAGGCAAAATGGTGAAGTTGTTTCCTGATCCTTCAAATGATTTTTTTGTTTGTTTGTCTGAGCAAGAGAGCATTTTTCCATGTCAAGCATTCAACTGCAGCTACACAAGATCTTCATTTTCAAACAGTGTCCACAGGAATTATTTTGAAAATAATAATGTTGAAGGCCACAGCTTGTTTATGTGGCTGCTACCCATTTATTTACTCCCTTGAAGAAAAAGAAAATCAGCTGGGAGAAGAAGCTTAGCCGGTGTTAGACGTGTTCATAAATACCATATTATGTTTAAAAACTCCTTGCATTATGACTCATTTGCCACTGTTCTCTCCAATAAAGAATAAAATGAGGCCCCAAAAGGTAGAGAAGCTGTACATATAAGACTTTTTACAACACCATAATTTCCCTTATATCATTAATGCTGTTACCAGTGTGGCTAAAACAATACCACCCATATATAGGCAGGAAGGATCAGCAAACTTAGGAACCTTTAGGTCTGTTCAACCTTCCCCCAAGTGAGGGGGTATCAAAAGCAGCCCAGAAAGGAATATAATACTCAGCAACCACAAAATATTGATGGATTACTGTTCTGAGACAAAAAAGGGGATGAAATGGAGAATCATAAAGGAGAGCATGAACAGAATCATGAACAATTTACATGGGAACATTTGTTGCAAGTCTTCCTTGACCCTTTATTTAAAAACTGACCTTCCACAAGTTGGTCTAAGGTGGTGATCTTCTTTGCTCCATCAATAGTGTAGATGGTTCTCACACCCTGGGGCAGATTGACGTTATCAGACAAAGTTCGGGTCAGATCAGCCAGCAAGGCTTCATAAGATCTAAAGCGATCAGGAGATATGGCGTATACAATCCCTTTGAAATAACGGTCCCCATTGCGATAGAAACGGACTTTTTTGGCTTTCTTCTCAGAGCTGAGGGTTTGTAGAGTGCGGGTTCGGTAGAAACTGCAATGGGCACTATGGGTCGGGCTAGGGAGACCATTCACCCGTGACCCTCGGCTGTACCGCTGTGCTTTATCACGCTCATCAAAGTGTTCCAGCTCCATATCTCTCCCAAAGGACATTTTCAGAGTTAATCTGGGAAAAAAGGGGAAAGAACAAAGGAGAAGCTTATCAATACAACTGTAATGAAATAGTTGCTTTATTAAAACTGGGTAGCAAGGGCTTTGCTATAACCAAGCTGAATCTGTCCAATTCTTTCAAGAATGCTAGCTAAAAGAACCAATAGCTAGCATAATGTAGTTTAGATTATATATTCAAAAAAATTGGAGGGTAATTTTTCCCCCAGTATCAGTTAAAGACAACAATTTTCCTTGACTTTTTAAATAATCTACTTTCCTCCCTCCATATGCCCAAAAGTTTTCTCCATTACCTTCTATTGGATAACCATATATTAGTATCTGAGATTATTAAATACGATTTTCAAACCTAACTGAAGGACACAAATTCCTCATTCTTCTACCTCTGTTGAACCAAGGACTTATCCAACTAATTGATCTGTAACACAATCAGTGCAGAGATTTAATTCCAGTGATGCAGTGACTAGGTTTCTTCTTCAAGGTAATTATTCTGTTAATAGGAATATTAATAGGATGTCACTTTTTTGGACTTCAAAGCAGAGTTTCATAACTGAAAAAGTGCAAGTCATCCAGAAGTGGTACATTCAATGCTCTTCCAGTCACTGTTGTCAGTTAAGTCTTGCATAGCAAAATGTTAAGCGACTATATAACACCAGCAAAATGTTGGCGACTATATAACACCATAACAAAATGTTGGCGACTATATAACACCAGCAAGACAGCAAAAGTGTACGGTTATAATCCTTTCACTCGCTCCAGCTTGGGTGACCTCCAGATATGAGGAGTTTAACTCTCACAGTTGCTGAGAACTCTGGGAACTAAAGTCCACATATCTGGAGGGTACAGAGCTTGGGGAATGCTGCCCCATATTATTGTGTAGTTTTAAAATGTTACAGTATTCATTCCTACATCACTAACACCTAGAAGTACAATGCAGCCCTAAAAAAATCAACAAGAACACACACTCACGTATCAAAATAATCCAGTTACAACAGTGTCCATTCTTTTCTAAGACTTCACTTTAATCCTTCTTTTGAAATCCGTGTTCTCCTTCTCATCCCACTGACAAGGCTACACCACATAATCTATTTTGCATGGATAAATTTAGGAGGTCAGGCTTCTGCCACTTGATCAGAATTAACATACTGAATTACTGTACAGATACTGTTATTTAAATCCTGACTTTCCTGTTAGTACAGTAATTGGTTAAAATGAATGAGATTTTTCCTCTATAAATCCAACTGAATAAAGCAAGGTGACAAACATCGCTTTTGTTAAGATGACGGTGGACAATCATTTTCTTTCCCTTTATTGCCATTCTGTTACATTAGAACTGCACTGAAGCCAAAACATGTCCACTCAAAAATAAATTCCATGTATGACACTTATGTATTCCCAGAATATTATGTAGCAGACTGCCTCTATATTATATGATTGAGGCTTCATATATGGATAACTTCTGGGAAATCTTTAAAAAAAAGTTGTCTTAGAGCAGTACAAGGGCCGCATACACACATCAGCTTGGAGTGGCTAATAATTCAGAAGCCTGATTCTAAGAATATAAAATCCCTGTCTCTCAATGGGATTGGGCTTCCCCATGGAGAACTGGCCTGCAACCTGGGGATTTTCCTGGACTCACGGTTGCTGACTGAATAACAGATGGAAGCTGTGACAGCACCACCTTTGCCCAGATTCAGTTATATGCTAATTGTGACCTTACCTAGAACAAAATATTCTGAGGATAGTCAACCCTTGACTATCTTCATAATCCTGTGCATGGATTACTCTAATTCTTTTTTCACGGTGCTGACTTTAAAGACCTATATGCAGACTTCAACTGATGCAAAATTTGCTCATTGTTCAGTTGTGGTATTGTCACATAACATTTCTTTCACAGGAAATGGATTAAAGCTGGTTATCACCTATATGGTTTAGGACTGGAGTATCCACCTCCCAAACAATTTCTGCTTACCTAACCTGGGTGAACAGAGAGTACCTGCCCCACTTATCAAGAGGTGAGAGGAAAGGCCCCCCTCCTATGGAATAATTTGCTCAAGGTGATGACAATTCCAACTTTCATGGCATTCTGGAGACTTGTATAAAACAGTTCTTTTGGAGGACCTTTAGTGAATATGATGGTATTTTTGACACCTGGTTTTGGCACAATATTTTTATTGTTTTGTCATTAATATATCTCTATATTAATGTATTACTACTTTTATTTGTACACAGCTTACAGCCTTCAGAGTTAAGTAGTATATCAAAATTATACATAAATAAATACATACATACATACTCCTAATATAGGGAACTCTCTTTGAGCTACTGGTCAAACTCACTTAGTAGCTAGGTTCAAACAGTACATGAGCCATGATTTATTGAATAAAGCACAATTGGCTGATTCATACAACTTGTCAAAGCTAAACAAACTATATCACGACTTAGCATGTTGTGTGCATCAGGCCAGTATGATCTTATTCTGCGTCTCTCCCAATTCCAGACAAGGTTTGTTCCTACTTCAAGATGCCAGGTTTCAGCCTGGGACCTTTTTCTGCAAAATGTGCACCATGACACTGAACAACAGTGAGAAAATGTTGACAAGCAAGCACATCCTGCAGCACAGTGCTTCAAGGCTGCAATCCTAAACATATTTACTAAGAAAGCACAGTTTTATAAAGATATAGATATAATCTCAATGTTACTTTGGAGGAAAAAAAATACCATATCATACATATGTGAATTTTTCAGTCTCATAGGTTTACACCCAAACAATCTTTTTCCCCCCTTTATTGAATAGAAAAGAATTCAAACATGCATTTTCTTATATATAACATGGCAATACCATGAAGAAAAAGCTTAGAACTCAATTCTATTCATGCATAAATTGGCCTTGGATTCATTGCATCTTACTTCTAAATCAACAGGTACAAAGTAAGGCTAGTAAATGCAAAAATAACACCAAATATCAATAATATACACATCTGATTTGAAAGTAGTTTCTCTCTTATTCTAATTTCCAATCAAGAAAAGAAAAAGCAGAACAAGGCTTTCTGCTGATATTTAGGTGACAGCTATATGGATAATGGGAATGGGCAGAAAACTATATTAGGAATTTCAAAATGTTTTTCAAAAAACCATCTCCTTTCAACAGTATTTCAACATTATTTTCAGCCACGTGATAACTATGCTTAGAACTATAGCTTTTACTATTTTCTGCATATAGAATTTACAATCCAGTCTTAATTTTAACATTAGATGAGAACCCAATTTAAACCCAATCACATTTTTTCATCTAAAGTGGGCATTATACATTAAAAATATAGCAGAAACATACCATTGGCTGAGTTCATCCATTGGATAAGATCATAATGTAGTTTGCTTTAGTTTAGCATTATGTGAAGCCAGACATTGTAATTTATAAAGAATGGCTTATGGCTTAGTGCTGCGAGAAATCAGACAGTTGTGACTTATTCAGCAGACTGCAGGTACAAAAACATAAGTAACTTAATATGATGTGCAAATCCTACCACTAACTTTTCTCTTAATACACATAAGCTAGGTACACAAAGCTCTGGATGCATACAGGTATTTGTCATTGTGTACACCCACAATCCACTTTTGAATAGTGAACAGGGCTATCACTAAAATTTGACTGACTACCCAATAGGTGGATTCATAGATTGTTCCAAGTCATGATTTGCTCAACCATAGTTTACAGTATCACAGTAGCTTGGTCTATAAACTAAACAAACAAAAAAAACCCTCCCATGTTATGGTTTTTCATGATGTGTGAATAAAATATTCCTTATTATTATTAGATTTTTATACTATATATATTTATACATACACACACTCAGTCAACGTAAGGCAGCGAACATATGTAATACTCCCAGTTCCTATTTTCCCCACAACAACAACCCTGTGAGGTGGGTTGGGCTGAGAGAGAATGACTGGTCCAAAGTCACCCAGCTGGCTTTCACACTGAAGGGAGGCCTAGAACTCACCATCTCCTGGTTTCTAGGCCAGCACCTTAACCACTACAGCAAACTTGCTCTCCTGAAATTTTCTCATTGAAAATGAACCAGTAGGAACTGAAGAAAAAAAATCTTCCCCGTTGCTGATTTCCAGCAGCATGAATATAAAGATCACTTTTAGCTACCAGGATATTTACTCCAAATATTGCACTGGGGAATTTCCATCTGTTGTTCTCAATGGGATTGCACTGCCCTAGAAAAAGCTGGTGTGCAATCTGGAACCCCTTCTAGACTCATGGCTCCTATTGGAACAGGGCAGGTAGAGACATAGCCAGTAGAGCCTCTGACCAACTTTGGTGTGTTTGCCATTCCTGGACCAGAAGGTATTGAAGACAGTGACTCATGCCTTTGCCATCTCTCAGACTATGCAATTTTTTCTATACAATGAGGCCCTTGAAAATGACCCAGAAGCTGCAGTTGGCACAGAATGCAGTCACTCACCTGCTGGCCAGTGCTAACTGGTTCAGCAGAATAACACCTATTCTGCAAGAGCTCCACTGATTGCCATTGGGCTTTCAGGCCTCATTCATAGTGCTGGCTGTTACCTATAAGGTTGGGGACCATGCTACCTCATGTAAGGTAGAATCTGTCCACCTTACATGATCTAGCTAGGAGACAATGCTATGGGTACTCTCTGAGATCAGAAGGGTGGGAACTTGTCATTCTCAAGTAAAATAGCTTACCTTCGGAGGTTAGGCAGGTCTGCACACTTTTATAGGAAACAGTTGAAGACCTTCCTTTTTTGCTGGATTGGGGGGGGGGGGGGTTTAGAAAACAGCACCAGATTTTTAAAGATTTTTTTAAAATATGGACATCTTTGTAAAGATGTAAATTTACATTGTAAATCATCTAGAGTCATCTGAGTAGGCTGCATATAATTTTAAATATATATTATGGCACTAGAACTTCCAGAGTTGCCAAACAGCATGGCCAATGGCATTTAGGCTTGCTGGGACTACTATTCCATAATTGGTACTACTGACTAGGAGTTCTAGATATCTGGAGATCAATTTGAAAAGAATTGTTTAGGGAAGATAGAGAACATAGCTCTCCAAATGTTATTAGATTACAACTCCCATGTTCTCTTACCACTGACCACACCAACTAAACTAGTTCAACAACATTGTGAGGGCCATACGTTCTTCATCTTTGTTTTATCAAGATTTCTTAAATCTGCTTACAGGAACTAATCAATATCACTGCTACCAATAAACCCAAAGTTAAGATGTCTTCAAATTTAGCTTGATTCCCAGAGATTCCATCCACGCAGTTTTCTTGGCAGCATTATGGGAGTGGTTTGCAATTGCCTTCTTCTGGGGTATTTTTCAACTTCCTAGTCTAGCTTCAAAACTGAAGATGCTGAAACCCTTAGAGAGAAGAGCAAGGCTGGATTTACACATCATACTAGCCTATAAACCATAGTTTACGAATCATAATGGCTGGGTTCAAGCAAGATGCTAAATCATGGTATGAGTTAATGTATCATGTGAATTCAGCCAAAGGCCATTTAGGAGAATTCTTGTCTTCTTACAATTGGCAGTTCATGTTGACTTAACGTGGATGTACTATTATCTTGAATTAGGCAATGAGCTATACATACTAGTACATGGAGATTCTCTATTTTTGGTTTCAAAAGTAAAACTACAATTTGAAGTCCTATCTAATCAAAGATGATGATGAGATGTAACAATAACTATGACACAGCAATTATGTTGTGTCTGGAGGCTGAAGGGCCAGGTAAAGCCCCAAGCTAAATCAGTAGTATTTTCAAAGCATACTTCTAATTCCAAGAAGGAGATTATACAGAATACATATAATATTAGAAAGGCATTTACAACTACAATTCCAAACAATAGTGCTGAAAATGTATTCTGCAAATCAAATAAAACTGCAGAAGATTAATATTTAAGATGAATTACAGATTTTAAAAGATCATAGAAGTTCTATGGGGTGATATTCTCTTTAGTAATGAATCATTTGATTCAGTAGGAGCTCCTAAAATGGAAACAAGATACCATTCTACAGCTATGTCATTCCTCAAATCCTGTACATCACATGAGAAGACAGGCAACAATTCTTAAGGCACTTACACCAAAGTAGATCTAAAGACTTTGACAAATTTAATCCCAAGAAGAGGGTTTAATGGCATCAATGTTTTAAAAATTAAAATTTTCATGTGATTTATCATTCTCGAAACTGATCACAGGTTACTGAACACACCCTGTAGAGTGTCTGATACCCATAGTTCACACTACATACATCTATTACAGACGGATTTCACACCCTGCAAATGTGGGTGGTGATTTCATAAATCCATCAAATGCAAACCCAAATATATGCCACAGATCAGCAACAAATCATTCAGAGACACTGAACAATAGACAGACACTCAAAAAGCCATATCCTCAGTTACATAACGTTTTTGTTTTATTTAAGGCATCTGTTAAAATGTGGCGCAAGAGCTTTAAATATAGAATAGAAAGCCACGTGGACCACCTAGATTCACGGACAGATAATACGTTGTCTGGCCAATTAATTGGGGAGGGAAAGAATCATTTTTGCTCTCTCCTTTTTGAAAAGTGTCGTTATTTGCCACCATGTTAGCAGATGGGACACGTTTTCCTTGTCTCTGCCTGCCCATTTCTAAAACATGCTGCAGCTCTCCAAGCCTAGCTTAAGTCTCCTCCTGTCAAGCTTAAGATAGGGGTAGACACATTTTTACAGCTGAACCTCCTTTACAGTATCGATTACCAAATGAGGCAATTAAAAAAAAAACACCCGAACGTTGATTCTAAGACGCAACCCCTTTGCTTCATACAGGAGCGTTCCACACAATGACAGAAATCTTCCCTCCTTGACAGAGAGGAAAACCACCACCACCTCCATCTCCATCTCTCTGCTTTAAACCAACCAGCCTAAAATGGTGCTAAAATTACACAGCACTACCTCCACGCTGCGGGAGGCAGGAGGGAAAGACCCCCCCCCCCCCCCCGCCGCCGCAACCACTTCTCAACCTCCTCCAAGCCTCATTCTTCCAAGACGCGCATCCCTAAACAATGGGGACAGGTAGGTGAGCCACCCACGCACGTTTTCCCTGCCGAGCATCTGCCTGCGTTACAAACACGAAGCGAAGGTGGAAGGGGCCCCGACGCTGATTGCTTTCTTCCACAGTCCTCCGAGTGGGGCGGGGAATGGCTTTGAAACTATCGCCAACGCTTACCTGTGCCTTGAAAATTTCAAGTTGTGGCTCTCTCGCGGCTGCAAGCAATTGAACTTGTTTGCTGCAAAGGGGGTGGGTACCTCCGCCGCTGGTTCTCCAAAGACAAAGCCCAGCTTCCACTGCCACCGGCAGCCCTGTGCTACCCGACTACTTAGCCTGGCAAGTGCGGCTGTCCAGGGAAGGCTTAACTGGCTTTGGCTTTGTTGTGCGGCTCCGCCTGTCCCCTTTCTCCGCCGGCTGAATCCGCTGCCGAGCCTTTCCTACAGCTGCCGAGCCTTTCTTCTCCTGCCGCTGATGGGAGCGATTTGCATTAGCCCGTCCCTCCTGAAATGCGGCTCTTCACACCAGGCTGGGCAAATCTAGCACGCTGCATCTGCCAGAGGGCGGTGCCTGCGCCTCCGCCCCCGCCCTTATTCTGCCCGCTTCTCCGAGGGAGGAATTGTTAGAGACCCCGAGGAACTGGGAGCGCGGGCAGGCGTTTTCTCCACCCAGTTGGGCACTGGGCATCATGCACTTGTTCTTGTTTGCTTGGAAGGAGATACCATTTAAATCAATAAGTCTTACTCCTAAGTAAGTGGGCACTAAACTGCTGCCTGCCATACTCTTCAAGCCTTATTTAAGGACGTGTTTATCCATGGTTAATTTAATCATAGTTTATGTGGCCCAGCTTTCTGGGTTTGCATGAGGCATGGAACAAACAATCACAGGGCTGGGTTCACAAAACATGCAAAGCTGTCACAGTTAGCTAGTTTGTGCTTTGCATTGCATTGTGCTATGCAAAGATACTGCCTGGCAGGCTCTGTTTTACTACTATAACTAGGCCATGATCTATGCATTCTTCACTTGCTAGTTTCCATATTACAGAATATCAGCCAGCTACAAAATACAGAAGATAACAGGACAGAAATTTAGGGCAACCTATAATTATGTTGGCAAGCATTGGGGTCCTCTGCTATATTTCATGGTTTGGGGACATCTAGAGAGCTACAAGGAGAGAGTGAGAACACAAACTGGGCAAATTCTCCAAATTAAATACTAATTACCAACTTCAATTAGCTGGTACTTGTGTAATCTCTGAATAGCTCCCAACTTGTTCCAGTACAATTAAAGCAAATGGTAAAGACAAGCCTCCATTGTTAAGCTTGACTCTTAGTCTGCATGGAGATATCCATAAGGTTTTCTTGGCAAAAATATGAAAGTGCTTGCCATTGTCTTCAACTATTTTTTTCCCCACTTTACAGACCAGTCTATAGTCTGGGTCTTAAGTACTAAACAGTCTATGGCCCAAGTACTAAACTGGTGTGGCCCTACTTAGCTTTTTTTCAGGATCAGTCCAGATCAACTAGGCGCTGCCATCTGGTGTGATAAGCAAATAATGTAATGTCCTGACTGAACATCCTTTTTACAGTCTAAAAGATAAATAACTTGAATGTAAGGCAGGGATGAGGTCTGAGCCTTAGGACTCCACTGAATCTGTAATTTTTGCCCCAACAAGAGTTCAGTTCACAAAAAGGAACTCTTCAATATTGCATATAAAGAAACTTGCCCAGGAATTTGAAAACCAGACAGAGATGAGGTCTAAGCCCCGAAACTCTTTTTTTACCAGCATTTCTCAAATCGTTTTTCTCACCTCACAGTTCTGCTACATAAATTCCACTTCTTTTAGAGATAAATTAGACAATGTATATATTGCTTATTATCCCATCCTACTTCCATCTTTAATTAAATTATCACAGATATAAGCACTCTGATCCAAATTCTGGCTGTGTTGAATGTGGTTAGGGAGCCTAATCCCTAACTTCAGATGCACATTTTTTAAAACATTGCTGATTGAATGTTTAAACCATATGTAGTTGCATATGGGTGAATTTTTCTTAGAAAGAGTCCCGGGGCAAGGATTCTACTCTACAGATGGTGGTTCTAGTCTACCTTGGACTTCTCTTCTGATGCAATTTTTTAAAAAGAAAAACCCAAGTTACTAGTTAGTTTCTCACTTATCCCATTATATATCCAATCCACACAACACACTGAATCAAATCAGTTAAAGACCCAGCAGGATATACGTACCTTCCTTAGATTTTTGTGTGTGGTAGCCTACTTGAACAGTGTATTGTTCAAACTCAGATGATAGGTTAATTCAGTATCCAGGTTTAAGTATGATCTGTGAATGCAGCCACTGTGAGTCTTCCTGCTATCTCTACCCTGTCAAGGTGCTTCTCAGTCTTTCTAGCCCCTTATGTGGCTTTCTCTAGCCCCCTGTATTACCCAGTGTGATGGGAGTAGGGTTTAGGGATTGGGCTGACACAACAGAGAGAGGGGAGAACAAAATTGAGACCCAGCCTGAAGGGTTCTCTTCCTCGAGGTCAGGATGTTACGGCCCTCTAAATGTTGTGGATGCCAATGATGAAAATTTCAGTCTAAGCATAATATTGTAAATCCTGTGCACAGAGTTTAGCTGAAAAAAGAAGTCCTTTCTATTGCTTTCTAATCCTACCGAGGAGTCATTGTGGCCAGTTTGAACTCATGGAACCTGGGAAGATCTGGAAGAGAGGTGTCCGGGAGGGGAGGATGACAAAAGCAGCACTGCATGGTTGTATGCAAGCTCCACCCTTCTGCATGCACATGCAAAAGAGGCAGGACATATAATGCAATGCTGCTTTCATCGTTTCAGCAAAAGACTCTGTCTTGAAGGTCCTTCCCTAAGGAGCAACTCAGCAATTTTACTATGGACCACGTGAGACCACAAACAGAAACTTTACTGGAATTTTCCCTCATGGGAACAGGTTTTTACCTCCTCCACCTCCATGTTTTAAAGTCTTCAAGAAGTATTCATTCCACTCCATGTATATTAATAATTTGGGGCAAATATGTTTTTTTTTAAATTGCAAGTACTTACAATTTTGTAGAATGCTTTTTATAGGTGGCTTAGATGAGTTTGTTTTATGCTGCTGGTTTATATTTACTATTGTCACTATGTAAACTAATGGTGTTAGTTCAGTATTTTTCCTGGAAGGGCAGCATCTGTGAGAGAGTTTTGAAAGAAAATGCTATAGATTATATAGAAGTACGTTGCTGTCCTAAATTATGCAGGACACGTTGACTTCATACTTTGGTATTAGAACTCTAGATAAAATGTGTACGTAGGGATGGCTTCCAGGGCCTGTCCCACCTTTGTTTTGACTGTCTGCTCTTTTAACAGCTGCTGAATAAATGAACATTGCTTTATACAGCAGACAGCTACTCTGTATCCAAAATGCAGACCTAAGGCTTTGAGAGTGCTGCTTTCTTCCCTAGTTCTGTTGACAGAATTTTGGCATGTCTGTTATCCTTATGGATTGTTGTTCTCTTCTTTTTATTGTAAAAGTTTGAAGAAGAATTGCCACATTACATAGGACAACCACATTTATCAGGAGAAATATTGGCTTCCCTTTGGATTCTAAATTCTATAAAGCCAGGAATTATAGCAATAATGGCAGAAGAAAGAAAACAAGCATATCCCTGACCAAATAACTGGATAGCTTTCAGCAACTTCTAAGACCAAGCAAAGGATTCTCTCTCTTGGAGATATAAATTCAGCAGGACCCTTTGTTAGAGGATATATTCCTGAATGTAAGCAACATGATGAAAGATTAAGTAGCAGAAGGACCCATTACAAGCTCATCTTGGATGGGCGTTGCCCAGCTAAATGAATGGTAGTGGACATTACATTTGTTCCTTGAGTTGACCAAAAATACAGGTGGGATAAAAATCTGATAATAAATAAAAAATAAAAGATTTATTAAGAAAGCCTTACTGCATCATAAACTACATCTTGAGGAGAGAAAGAAAAGGAAGTTCCCTTGATTCTTAAAAAGAGAGTCATTTAGAAACAGATAACAAGGACTGGTCCCCTCATCTATCTCTCATCAAAGATTCATAAGTGCAAGGAGTGTTGCAATCTCCAACATTCACTTAATCTCTTATTAAAATATACACAGACTGGATTTGTCTCTTGCTGTAAGTCAAAATGAATTTGTGTGAACTTGGTCACTTGTGGCTTCTTCAGTAGTCCATGGTTCAGCGAACCACACATTAGTATAATGTATAAATCCATGATTGCAATACCAATTATATAAATACTAAGCTATACTTTACAGTGATGGTTTGCTTATTGGTTTGTTGAATTAATAATAGGCCTCAGGGATACTACCATAGCAATATTTCAGGATATAGTGATTGGACCTGAGAGGCATGTGGTAGAGGAGGGCATATTACTACAGTGTGGGAAGTAGCACTAAGATAGGAATTGACCTAACCATTCTGGGAGAAAGAAAATGGGAAATGTTGGTGTCAGCCCTAGCCTCAAACCTGGTAGCCTTCCCCACAGGTTCAGGATGCTGATTACTGGCAACTGTGAACTCAAGCTGCTTTTACTGAATACAAGTCTGTCTATAATACATGATCTGGTCAGGGAGGAGCTAGCTAATATATAACCAAGATCTGGTTGAGTGAGGATGGATAGATAGTCCTATCAGATATTTGCCAAGGTTTTCTGGTGTTTCAAGACTGGAAGTAGGTGGGTGAGTGATAGCAATGATCCTGAGAGACTTGGATGTGATCAGATGCTCTGCTCCCTAGGTGATTAGACGTGCATGCTTGTATTTGAAATTGAGTTGTAAGCATGTTTGGTGTGCTGCTAGTATGTATACTGCCCTCAGTAGCAGGATGTCTTTGTGAACTTTTGGACCTTATAATCAGACTGGTTTTGGATGCCCCTGCCCCCTTGCGCCAACTATTACTGTTGGAGATTTCAATCTCTACGTCCTTAGCATGAGTTCTGACATAGTTCAGGAATTCATAGCCTCCAAGACAAAGGTAGTCCTGTCACAGTTGATATCTGGCCCAACTCATAGGTGGTCATGTGTTAGATCTAGTTGATTAGTTAGTTCATAATCTGAAAGCAGAGAACATTTACTGTATACTACTCTTCTTTTCATGGTTGGATCACTTTCTGGCCACAATGTTCTCTCAAAGGGGTTAG